ACCCGAGGAACAAGAGGACGAGCGGCACGAAGGTAGTCAGACAAAGGGGGGGGGTGCAACAACAAGGGAGGACGGAGGAGGCGATGGGAGAAGGGGAGGACGAGACGCGTGGGAACGAAGCAACATAGGGTGAGAGCGTAAGACAGGGGAGACAGGACGAGCACGGGAGGGACGGCGAGACCAGACGTGAGACGGAGGAGTCGGGTCAGGAGACAGAGGAGGGGACACAGGGGGGGAACGAGGGCGAAGACGAGCCGGGGACGAGTTCGGCGGAAGGAACACCAAGCCGTAGACGGGAAGTGGAGGAGACGGCAGGAGAGGAACAGACGCAGGGTCAGGGGACGGAAGGCCGAGGAGGCGACGGGCTGACACCGGCGGGGACTGCTGCTGCGGCAGCACAACGCCGACACCGGGACCACAAGCTGCTCCTCAGCTACCACCGGCACACTCCACGCTAGCACCCCCAGAGGGAACGCCCCCAGGGCCCGAAACCCCTCGAGCACCGGTACCACCCCCAGGGCCACCGGAACTAGCACGCACTCCAACGCCAGCACCTCAAGAGTCAACGAACGGCTGCTGCGACGGCTGCGGCGGCGGCGGCGGAGGTGACGACGGCTGCGACAGCAGAGGCGACGGCGGCGGCAGGGGCGGTGGAGGAGGGGACGCCTCGGGAGGGGCGTGGTTGGGAAAGCGGTGGTAGAAAGAGATGGACTTGTCAAAGGTGACGTCGCGAGAGTGAAAGAAGCGGTGAGACGGCGGGTGGTAAAAGTGCCAGTCGGACGCGTCAAGGGGAAAACCGAGGAAGACGCAGGGAAGGGTGCGGGCAGTGAGCTTGTCCGTGCCGGAGGCACGGACGTGAGCAAGGCAGCCCCAGACGTGGAACGCAAACGTGTCACCAGGAGACGTGGTCCAAAGACGGGTCAGCAAAACCTGCGGCTGCTGGGGGTGCGGCCATAGGTTAAGCTGGTGAGAAGCGTAGCGCACGGCGAACGGCCACAGAAAATGGGGTGCACCGGCATGGATCATAGAGGTGCGAGCCACCTCCATGACCAAACCGATGCGTCGCTCAGCGACCCCATTTTGCTCTGGGGAGTCCGGCAGGGTGAACGTCTGGGAGATGCCCTCCGCACGACAAAAGCGACCAAGGATACCTGAGGCAAACTCGCCACCATGGTCGGAGTGAAGATGCAAGACAGGGAGACCTCAGTGGGTACGGGCAGAGACCAGCCAGGGGATGAGAGCGTCAGGCACGTCGACCTTCTGCTCTAGGGGAAAGACTGTGGTGTAGCGAGTGAAGTTGTCGACAAGCACGAGGAAGTAGCGCTCTCGACGCGGCCCATGGACGGGGGCGGGGCCCCAGACGTCCATGTGCAGGGTCTGCAGCGGCGCGGCGGTAGGGGGAAATGAGGAGGAGTGAGGGGCACGGCGAAGCCGACCCTCGACGCAAGGCGTGCAAGGTGGGGCGGGGGAGGAGGGAAAAGCGGGGAGAGAACCAAGGAGACCAAGGACGAGACCGCGCTGGGACATGTGACGCAGACGCGGGAGCGCAAGGTGACCTAGGCGGTGGTGCCAAAGGAGAGTTGGGTGAGTGAGGGACCGACAGGAGCAGGCAGCAGCAACCTGGGTAGACGCAGCCACCTGAAGGGGCACTGCAGCCGGGGGGGTCATAGTGTCCAGAGTGAACAGGCCAGACACCGGATCCCGGGGGAACGTGGACAGGGGGGCACCAGTGGCGGCCTCGGTACAGACAATATACCGCTCGTGACCAGGGAACGTAGTGGTGACGCTAAGGTCCTGGAGGCAGCCGACACCAACTAGGTTCCTGGAGAACGAGGGGATATGCAGACTTGTGAGAGAGCCCGAAGGAACCGCCGGACAGGGAAGGGTGGTGGAACTGCGGGCGACTACCGGACCGCCGGAGGGGTCAGCAAGAGAAACGGTAGCAGGAATAGGAAGCGGGGTCAGTATAGTGAAGTTGCGGAAGAATCACCGGGAAGCGCCACAGTCCAAGGTGAAGGAAAGCAAAGCAGTGGCGTCCGGCGATGGGGCGACGGCGGAAGCACCAAGGATATACAAACCAGGGGCTCCTATACCTGACGCAGCAGGGGTGGCTAAGCTAGGCACACCTACACTACACAACAATGAGTAATAAGCAAGAAGCACACTTGAGTCATCAGCATACATCACATGCAGAGCAGAAACAATGGCATCCATGTCCATGTCGAAAATCTGAATCCTACGACTAAGCAAACTGTGCCAGTCCGGGAGGTCTGGCGACGGGCGTAAGCGCTGACGAAACAGGTCGTCTAGGTGACGAAAACAGCGAGGAATGGTATGACCGAGCTTATCGCAAACGAAGCCGCGACGAGGACCGGTCTGGATCTGGTACTGATAACGCACGCCTCCCGAACCACCACTCGGCACACCACCACGCGCACGACCATCTCCAGCGCCAGGCCATCCGGGCGGGAGGACACTCGCCTGCCTCGTCTGCTGCGGCTGCTGCGACTGCTTCGGATGCTGCTGTTGCTGCTGCGACTGCGAAGGCGGCTGCTCAGCTGGACCGGGCAGGGTCCCCTCGTCCGCTGCAGCACCAGACGACCCGACTCCACCACCACCCCCACCTGCACCCCCTCCTCCTCCGCCGCGCCCAGCCTTGGGGTGGCGGCCCTTCCCCGAACAGAACTGCGCTGCATTTGCAGTCTCAGCCACAGCCGCAGAACCGTCAGAGAAGGTACACTGAGCGGGGGCACAACCCTGAAAGATAGGGACCGGCACAGTACCACTCGCCTGGGCGATGGAGCGGTGGCGGGTCTCAATAACAGTCAGGGTGTCTACAAAGTCGGTGAGGGTGAGCTGACCGGGGTGAATGCTAAGGAAGCGGTCGCGGACGGCGGCAAGGCGGTCAGGGAGTTGGGTGGCAAGCAGGTAGAGGGTAGAGGTAATGGGCGGCTGGTGGGCTCTAAGCTGTGTGTCAGTGCAGGCAGCGCGCTAGGTCTCATCTATCGTGCGCACATGAGCAGCCAGGTCAGCAACGGTGGGGAAGGACGCAAGGTCGGGAAAGAGCATCGGGAGGATCAGGCGACCTACCGAGGCAGCAGGAGGGGTGGAATAGCGCTTGATGACAGCATCTAAGAAGGCCTGGGTGGTAGTGATGGACCTAAAGCGAGGGCGCTCAGACGGGGGAAGGGCATTGCTAATGGCAAGCTGGGCGACAGCGTCTCGGGAAAGCCAGACAGAGCGCGCAAGGGCAGCGGCTGCAGTAGACTCGCGCTCAGCGGGTGTGGGGTCAGCGAGTAGCACAGAAGGGGGGTCTGGGCAGGGGAGCGTACCGTCAAGGTGTGCGGAAAGCGGGTGGCCATCCTGCCGCTGGCCAGTGAGGTGGCGACGGAGGTCGGCGAGCCACGCCTCGAACTCCAGAGGCTGGCCTTCAGCGTCGAAGCAAAGCTCCGCCGCCATCACAAGCATTGCAGGACTGTACAGAGTGGTACAATGCGGTGGAGGGCGGTGCAGTGCAGTGCAGGGCGGTGCAGTGCGGTACCGTGCGATGCAGTGCGGTGCAGTGCAGTACTATGCGATGCAGTGCGGTGCAGGGTGGTGCTGTGCGGTACAGGGGATATGGAACTGTACCAGGGAGGGTGCAGGGCCGGAGCAGGCACGACGAGCGGGCCGCACACAGCTCGAGGCAAGACGGGCGAGGGGGCCAGGAGCAGCGGCACCAGGCTGGCGGGACGAGCGCAGGGCCGACGGGACGGGCGCGGGGCCGGCTAGGACGCCCACAGGGGCCGAGCAGACGGGTGCGGAGGTCGCGAGGGCGGGCACGGGGCCGGCTGGGGCGGCCACAGGGGCCGAGCGGACGGGCGCGGAGGTCGCAAGGGTGGGCAGGGGGCCGGTAAGAACGGGCGCAGGTGCCGAGAGGGCGGGCGCGGAGGCCGCTAGGGCGGGGACGGGGCCAGCTAGGACGAGCGCAGGGGCCGCTAGGGCAGGGACGGGGCCGGCTAGGACGGGCGCTAGGGCGGGTGCGGGGGCCGCTAGGGCGAGCACGGGGCCGCTAGGACAGGCGCTGGGGTCGCGAGGACGGGTGTTGGGGGCCGCTAGGACGGGCACGGGCGCGGGGCCGGCAAGAACGGGCGCAAGGGGCCGAGAGGGCGGGCCCGGAGGCCGCTAGGGCGGGCACGGGGCCGGCTAGGACGGGCGCAGGGGGGCTGCTATGGCGGGCACGGGGCCAGCTAGGGCGGGCACGGGGCCAGCTTGGACAGGCGCTAGGGCCGAGGGGAGGGGGCGCGCGGGGCGCGAGGGCCGTAAGGAGGGGCGCGAGGGCCGTGAGGGGCTGTAAGGAGGGGCGCGAGGGCTGTGAGGGGCCGTAAGGAGGGGCGCGAGGGCCGTAAAGAGGGGCGCGAGGGCCGTGAGGAGGGGCGCGCGGGCGCGGCTAGGGGGGGGGGTGGGGGGCTAGGAGGTGCGAGTAGTTCCTAGAGCGGAAGCGTGGGCGGACGGGGACCTACCTACTGCTGATACCATCTCAAAGCTGAATGAATTGTTTAGTAGAGAGAGAGTAAAGGTGAATATACCTATGTGTTGTACCCTCTAAGAGGTGACCCTATACAGTTTATGCAAACATAGGAACTACACATGTTTGACACAGAGACCAGAGCGGTGGCGTAGTCAAGGCGGCGGGTAGAGGCGAAGTCAGCGACCGCAGCTACAAAGGCGTCAAGACTCGAAACCAGAACAGACAGGTCGGTAACGAGAGAGGCAAGGACCCGAGGAACAAGAGGACGAGCGGCACGCAGGTAGTTAGACAGGAGGGGGGGAGCAACAACAAGGGAGGACGGAGGGGGAGACGGGAGAAGGGGAGGACGAGACGCGTGGGAACGAAGCAACATAGGGTGAGAGCGCGAGACAGGGGAGACAGGTCGAGCACGGGAGGGACGGCGAGACCAGACGTGAGACGGAGGAGTCGGGTCAGGCGACAGAGGAGGGTGTGGGGGTGTGGGTACATAACACACTGAAATTCAAATTGCATTTTACATAACACATGGGCACTATTTTTCCGGGCCACTGTTAACACCTAGTCGTTTTTTTAGTGAATTTTTATATACACCATAGGGTGTTATATACGGGGGATTACGGTACTAGCCTCCACAGCACACCCCCTCGATGTCTGGCTGAACTGGCGCTGCCCTCGCTATAATCACCAGCAGCACGTCTAGCGGCAATCCCGCTAGGAGGCCGCCCAAGGGAGTAGTATCCTGCCCTCTGCGCCGAACAGGCAGGTTCTGTAAGAGGGAGGATCAAGAACGCGGAGAAGTTAGTACTTCGCCCCGTGAAATCTGGTTGGAAAACCTGGGTCGTACTGCTATACAAAAAGCCCCCTGCACGATTAGCTTTACGGGTGGTACTCTTGCCATTACTATATGACCGCACTGAGTCGGGTCCTCTCACCTGCGGCCGCTGTTGCCTCGTTAGTCTGTTGCAGCAGAGCAGCAACGCAGCCACGCAATCCTTGGACTCTTTCGGAAAGCGATGGTGCGATTCCGTTGACCATGGAAGCAGCTCCGGACGCTTGATGACCATCTCGCTCCGTGACGCGTCCTGGGGAAAAACCAACTGCAGTAAACACGAATTCCAGAGGTGACGACAACCAAAGGTAAATACTTCAAATGTACCGTTTGGGTCCGAGCTAAACCTTCGCTTTTGCGGAAAGATTGCGACCACTGAGACTGAAAACGGAGAAACGGAATATAAAGAAGTGAGCTTTAAAAAATGAAACGAATAGCTCTTGCCGATGAAATGAAGTATTACGAAGGCGTGGGAGCAATGGCTTCGTTCGTTCGTACCACTCTCTTGCCGACGACGAACGGCTCGTGCGTCGCCTTGTCGCGAAACACCCACGGGTGCTGCACGAAGGACCGCTGCCTGTACACACGGCCCGGCTGCAGGCACTCGTACGGGACCTGTGCGGAAGGCACGGAAGACAATGCGATGGGAAAGATTGAGAGACGGAATAACGTGAACGTATATGGCGTCGACAACCAGTGGGAATGGCATCGTGTCGGACGCGACGAGCGCCTGGTGTTTTAGATACAGCGGCTTGAGCGATTTATCACTGAGAAGATTCGAGTCAATGAAACTGACCTCCTTCCCGTCGTAGTCGACCCAGTACGGCTGCACGGCCGTGTCGGTCGCGTTTCGGAACGTAATCACCGTCGGCTTCGTGCTTGGTCCCGCGCAAACCGGCCATACTACTGGCCGCCAGCGAGAATGACCGGCGCTGCTGCCGGCTTCAGGCTGAATTTCCTGCGCCTGATTACCCTGAGGGTGAGGCTCAGCGGCTTGGGCTTGATCAGGAAGGGATGTTGTTGGCCCTGCGGCAGGATCAAAGGGACGGTTGTTGTTGGTGTTGGTGTTGGTGTTGCCGCGGCTCGCTGGAAAGTTGACTCGGCCTTCCGGGGGGTAGGAGATGGCGAGCGGGATCGCTTCGAGGATGTCGGCCTCCATTGACTCCTGGCCTTCGAATGGTCGTCTACCCCTCAGGACGGCTATCACGGAGCGGAAAGCAGAGAATATGTTCATTCCTGCCTGGTGACTCCCTATGGAGTAGCGACAATGCACGAGCCCTTTCCGTCCTAGTCAAAACTGCCAATTGACGAGGAATCTACGACGAAGAACCGCGCAAATGCTTGTAACAAAGACTAGATAACATGTTCGAAATTAGAGGCGTATCTGCTTTATACGTCATCTCTTTGTTTCTTCCTCAGGACATTGCAGCGGGCCTGTGGGGTGATTATCGCCCCGACAATGTCGGGACTCGGGACTGACTGGTGGGACCCTCATAGCTCGGCCGATGGTGGCAGCGCGAAGGTCACATCACTCTGGATTCGACCACCGCTGGAAGCTAGTCTGGTGGTTTGGTACGGAAGGACACCAGCCAGACCTGCTGAGGGCGTGGTCCCTTGGGTTCGGAAAAGGCGGGAAGTTCGAACTTTCAAGGGTTCCTACACATTTCTATACGTTACAGAAGGTTTTGATACGGTGCAGCGCGTTTGGTGTTCGAACTTTTGCATCTTTTGCTAAAAGCACCCCCCCCACCCCCCCTGACTTCCTGGCTTCGTTTTCCTTCAGTCCGAGTGTGGTTGTGTGGCTGGGCGAGAGCAGGTGAGGTGACAGAACACACAGGTGCCAGCTGCAACCCGAACTTCAAGCCCCCGAACATCCAACAGACGTTCGGTGTAGTTTCATTGAGCACCCGCGTGTACTGCACTCATCAAAACGCACAGCCTGTTCGCTCGAATGGATACTCGTAATAGTGTAATGAAGCGGAAAGAGTGTGTCTAACGAGGAAACAATACAAGTGAGGCAACATTAAACAAGTGGCGAAGAGATCGTCTTAGGGTTGCGGAGCATTTCATGATGAGAATTTATTATACATAAAATGTTTTATTTCCATCACAACAAACATTTGATTTTTATTTCACAAACTTGAAAAAAAAAAAAAAAAAAAAAAACCCAGCCCGATCGATTGCAATAGGTTGCTCCGCAACCAAAAAAAAAAAAAAAAAAAAAAAAAAAAAAAAAAAAAAAAAAACAACAACAACAACAACAACGAGGAGCATGGATATACCTAGCAGAGTCATAGATTAAAAATATATTGTCTGAACCATCAGACACGGATTTTGATTCATGTCTGGAAATTTAACGCGTGTCTGAATGTCAGAAAAAAAAATCTAAATGTTTGTCTGAAATTTAAAACCAGAATAGAAATTAGAATATGAGAATATCTATTTTCATAGCTTCATTTCTGAACAGTTGAGATTTTGTTACTCGATTCCCAAAGCTAGTGTCCCCCTGGACTCGCTATAAGAAATCTCCATTCCTTACTGAGTCATACGCTAGCGCGTACACCAGGGTCCTAAATAGCATACTTCTTTTGTCTGATTGTCTGATTTTCAGACTGGTTTATAGGGGTTTCTTTGTTTTTTCAGACAGGGGCTTTCAAAAACTCTGATTGGACTAGACAAACTTTTAAGATTTCTGTGAAAATTTCCGACTAGGTGTACCAGTTTATCTGATTTTTAGACAAGTGTTTTGAGTTTCTCTGAAACAAAGACATACAGATGTAAGGTGCTCCAATGCGAATATTCCTTTTTTCGCATCGCCACACGTTGTCCCCCCTCCGCATCCTTGGCATACGTGAGCCTTCCCGAGCCTTCTGTGGCAACATCTGATGTGGCTAGAACACATGTGACGATCAGCCAGAAGGGTGTAGCGATTCCCCCACGGAAACTTCTTCGACCACTCGGTTTCAAACTTGTGTTTCAGCTCTGCCTCACGTGCTTTAGTGACCTTCAGCAGCTCTGCTGCTTCTGCGTCCTCCTCATCGTCGTCAGCATCATCGTCCTCCATATCTTCTGCGGTAGACGGGCCGGGCGCTGAACTCGGTGCAGAGTCAGGAGCCTTGGATGTGGCGCCCTTGAACCACGGCAGAGAAGCCTACCGATACTCTCGCTTCTTGGCGGAGGAGCGAGCTGATGCTTCGGCATCGGTTTCCAAGCCGACCGCCGACGATGGTGTGGGCGACTGCGAGGGCTGAGGCAAGGACGGACTGGACGAACGCGTAGGCGACAAAGGAGGGGATGCTAGTGGCACTGGCCATGGCGAGGGCTTGGCTGAGGAAGGCGCAAGCATAGGGTCGATACTCGTGCCGCACCTCCTCTCTGCTCAATGCATTGCTCACAGGTGAGGCGTAGTGCAGCACCACTTCCTTGCCAGGTTTCCCAACTTCATCGATTAGTTCTGATTTATGTTTCGTGGTTTTGATGTATGATGTTCCGTGTTTGAGTAGGGAGGCTTTGGCAGCTAAGGACGCTGCCAAGAAGTTTCCCGACTTCAACGTGATCGACGACATCATCAAGATGGTGGCCGAGATTTTGGGACGCTCCTCGGTGTGGCATGATCGCTTCAGAGAGCTGCAGGAGATCTTGATGCAGACCTTCCTGGAGATGCAGTCTATCTTCGCCGCTGGCTTTCACGCGCCGAGGCAATACTCCGCTTGGTCGCAGTTCTTCCCGCCGCCATCCTGCTGCTGCACGAGTACGACCGGGATTCGTACGAGGTTGCAAGGGGCTATAAATTCCACTTCTACCTCTTCTTCCTCGCCGACCTGCTGACAGAGCTCAACCAGCTTAAGAAGAAGTTTCAGCGTCGCCAGGTAACGTATACGCTAATGCTTCAGATCGCGCACATACTTTCGATCGCGCACATGCATGTTCTATGCTGTGCTAAACATGCCTTGGCTATGTGATTTTCTTGTGCTACTTGCAGGTCGACATCACCAGGGTGGGAAGCATGGTGCAGAGCACCACCGAGGTGATTCGCGCACGGTACATTAACTGCGACTCTTCTTTCGGCGGCCCCAGAAGCAAGCACCTGCACAAGTTCTTGACATCCCATGAGCCTGAAGGTCGTGTGGTCGTCGAGGGGGAGGCGAAGGATGGCGAGCTGGTCCCCCACGAGTACAACCTTCACACGAAGTCGATTTCGGACTCGGAGTTCAAGAGCGACAAGAAGTCTTGCATCGTGTTGTGCCGTGCCATGGCCCAAGAGACGATCGACTGCATCGAGTCAAGGTTCAGCGACCTGCAACAGCTCGGAGGAACCAAGTTTTTTCTCTCATGCGCCTATCCCACTGCGCGATCGGACCGCGAGAAGAAAGCCCTTGAGTGGCTGGCGCTTCTGAAAAAGTTATTCAACAACAAGCCCTTGCTTGGTAAGTTCTCTAGACCAACATACTTTTCCGAGTGCTTTTCTGGATTACCCTTCTAATGTTTACTCAGTGTGCCTGTTATCTGAGTGCGATGCCATGCGTTATACTCACACTTTGCTGATTCCCTCCCCTCGCAATGTTACCCCCCCCCCTCCCCCTCCCAGGCGTTAGCTGGAAGCGCGCCAAGGCAGAGCTGACCTCATTTGTCAACATCATGGACGCGCATCACGGGGAGATGGCGTACCACGTCAGCCTGCGGCACATGCTGGGGACACGCGACTGGGAAGATGCCTATCCCAATCTTGTTAAGATTTGGGTGGCAACCGCCGTGCTCCTGTTGAGCACGGTGGAGTGCGAGCGGGGATTTTCCCACCAGAACGTCATTAAGAGCTGGTCTCGGGGCAACCTCTGTGATGCCCGCTTGGGCGACCTTGTGTGCATCTCCCTCCTGCACGATTACGACATGCAGTGGGATGAGATCGTTGACATGTGGAAGGCCACCAAGCCAAGGCGGCCTAGCCAGGATGCAATTGCCCCCATTCTTGCCCCAATGTCAAGGAAGAAGAAGAGCAAGGCCGAGGCAAAGAAGAGAAGGAAGATCGCTGAGCTCGAGGCTCAGATCAGGAAGTGGAAGGGGATGGCTGTGGTTGAGGAGGATGGGCTTTAGGAAGGAGAGGTGGAAGAGGAGGTGGAGGAAGAGGTAGAGGAGGAGCTGGCGGAATTTGATGATAACGAGTAGGTACCGTAAATGTAGGGAGGGAGGGAATGGCCATCTGCCTGCATGCTTGTTCGTTTGTAACTTGCAAGTAGTACTAACTTAATCAAAGTGCTTAAATATATCTTCCATTGTCACACACAATAACAGACTATGCAGTAGAATTTCTCTGTATTTTTAGACAAAGATTCTCAAATTCTCTGGAAAATCAGACAAGTTTTTCAAAATTCTCTGATCCTGAAAAGCGCATAAGACAAAGTGCGCAGATCGTGTCTGATTGCTCAGACACATTTTTTTCCAAAAGAGAACCCTGGCGTACACCCGAACTCCTCAACTCGTCACGTTCGGCCTCAATGTCGGCCCAACCCTTTCCAGAATCGCGCCCGGCACTGTCGCCACATTGCCGAACCTACCCACGTTCCGAGGTTATCGCCCTAGCACACCAACCCCTATATAACCTCGTGCCTTCATTGCAATAGTGACCTTGTATTCTCACGTTATATTTCATTGACACTGTCTATATCATAACAACTAGTATCAGGGCTCGACACTTCCAGGTGTCAACTTATACATATGTTTTATGTAGCAGTAATAGGCTAGATGGGGATATGTTCTTAAGGGGTACAACCCCAGCCCTATATCTCTCTTGTTCTTGCTTGTTTCAATCTATCCTAGTATTCTAACATGGTATCATCGTAGATTAGGTCCGCCCACCCGCTTCCGCCCCTAGCCCTAGCCTACCGTGCCTCCCCGGCCCCTCGTGCGTCCGCCGTCCCTGCGCCCCTAGTCGTCCCCACGCGCCTAGCCATCCCCACGCACCTAGCCGTCCCCACGCGCCCGGCTGTCCCATCGCGCCCAACCGCCCCTGCAGGAACCAATGACTGAGCCCTTGAAGATTCTCGACCATCGAGTCACGACGCAGCAGAACCGTCGAATGGTAGATTTTCTCGTCAGATGGCGCGATCGGACGTCTGAGGATGACAGCTGGGTACCCCTCGCTGATATATAATCACACCCAATTCTAACAGCGTATTACTAGCGTCGGAATGTTTCCGATGCCCGCGGCCTCGTTTAGGAGGGGGGGGGGGGGGGGGGGAGGTGGGTAAGTGTAAGGGAGTCGTACGCTAGCGCGTACACCCGAACTCCTCGACTCGTCACGTTCGGCCTAAATTTTCAGCCCAACCCTTTCCCGAGTCGCGTCCGGCACTGTCGCCACATTGCGGAACGTTCTCACATTCCGAGGTTATCGCCCTAGCACGCCAACCCCTATATAACCTCGTGCCTTCATTGCAATAGCGATCTTGTATTCTCACGTTA